CCCCAAAACCCCAAAACCCCAAAACCCCAAAACCCCAGTAACAATCTTTCATAATGAAATTTATAATAATAAATTTTGGACTTATGGGAGCAAATTGTTCAACATGTTCGTGCTCAAGAGAGAGAAAAGGAGGCATAGCTCTGTCATCTCTTTCTGAAGAACATATTAAGGAGTACCTTAGACAAGATATGGAGCTGGAAGAGGTTGAGACTTTAGATTTATGTGGGATACCGATGAAGGCGAGGGAAGTTACTCAGATTCTCTCTTTTGCTTATCCTGCAGATGATGTGCTTTATTGTCTTACGAGGATGTCTAAATCCTCCCTATCCTTCCTGTCTAAAAATAGGACTGATATTATCGAAGTTTGTAGAGAAAGTGACGAGAAAATATAAAAATTGAGGAAACTAAGATGGTTGAAGAACATGAAGCCGGTGTCAACCAAATTATTCATTTAAACTCGACTGAGCTAGCTACTGCTTCTCATGATTTCACTATCAAAGTTTGGGACAAGAAGAAGCTTAAATGTAACCAGACAATTCAGTCAGAAACATGTAACTGATTCTGTACAACTGGATTTAGAGGGAAATACTTGATGGCTGGTTACCCTAACGGAGATATTTTTGTATACAGCTCTAGGAAGAAAACTAAAATAGGCACCGTAAATAGTGCTCATAACCATTTAATCAGAAATATGTTTTCCCTTACAAGACTAATGCATTCATACTTCTGATCTATTGATGTGTGAGGGATAATAAAAGTTTGGCAGTCATTGCCACAACCAAAGGAATGAATGGAAATCAACCTTGATAGTGGAATTGCTTACAACTGTACGATAGAGCTTACTTCTTTACTTCCTCCTGATAAGACAGGCCTCTTACCAGAAATCGGAGCCATAGCATGAGCCCTAAAATCTCTAGTAATTCATATTATCTTAATTGACCCAACTGAAAATTTTTACAAAATTTATAAAACTCTGGAAATTTCACAGAAGCCGTCTTCGATGGTAGAGCTGAACGGAGGTCTTCTTGGAGTTGGAGTTGGGTCTCTTCAAAGTCCATCTAAAATAGAGCTCTGGTCTTATGTGTACGGTACAAAGATCGGTGTAATCAATGCCCATGACGACATGATTGACTCAATGATATTACTGAACACAGGTTTTGAATCAGCAATACGTGCAAATTTCAAATCAGTGATTTCTAGCAGAAAACAGCTATTTCAAAGCACTTTGCTTACCTCTGGAAGAGATAAGAAGCTTAAGATCTTTAACCTCTATCCAGGATCAAAAGAAGATGAATCATATTGAATATGCGAATTCCCTTGCAACCATACTGACTACGTGCGTAGTATTCTTCAGACTGGTTCAACTACATTTGCTAGTGCATCTGAAGATAAGTCTATTCGCTTCTATTCCATAGGCTTTAGAGATGGCCTTAATTGATAATTTTCAATTTTATTTTTCTAATTTGGGGTTTTGGGGTTTTGGGGTTTTGGGGTTTTGGGGTTTTGGGG